GACTGTCAAGGAGGAGCTTGAGGTGTTAAAGTGTATAAAAGGTCGCAAAATCCTTGTTTCAGTGGGGTGTTTATGCAGGAGCTATCCCGACACTACCCCGACGGCATGGCTTAACAGCATCATGCTAAATTTGATTTCTTTGAATCACCGGCCTCGATCTCCCCCATCCCGGTGCCCCCCCGGTCCCTTGGACCCCTCAATCCCGCCCGGGTGTCCCGGTCCCCCCTCACCGGCCCCGAGCGTTCCCCGGCCCCGATGCTCCCTCGGCCCGCTCCCCCCGGCCCCTCGGTCCCCCCGCTCCCCCTCACGGGCCGCAGCGATCCCGCCCAGCGCGGGAGCAGCCGCCGCGCCGCCGCCATGTCCGACCGCGATCACGTGACCGCGCCCGCCCCCCGCACGTGACACGGGCGGTCACGTGGCCGAGCCGCCCACGTGGAGCCCGAACCGGAGCCGGGGCTCGGCCCCTCCGTGTCGTTCGTCCCTCATCCCCTCCATCCTCTCATCCCCTCCGTCCCCAGCCCCTACCTGTGCCCAGGCGCCGTCCCTGGGCGCTCCCGTCGTGTCGTACTGCGGCATGTTTCGCTCTGGCCCCGGCACTGCCCGGCCCCGCGCCCGCCGCGCACTTATAGGATGGGTTTATCCGGTGGCCCGGGCGCTGAGTAAACACGGCGCTGTTTGTTTTGGACGGGCCCCCGCGCTGCGACAGAGGTTACCGGCGTGATGGGGTTGAGAGGCAAAGCGGCCGTGGCTCTCTTGTCCCTTTTCGGTGTCTAACGGCGTCATCGCGGGGCCGGGTGATGCTCCTGTGAGGGACTCCTGGCAGGCGGTCAGGATGTTTGTCCATTGAGAAACAGCCCAGGGGCTCTGTTCTGGCAGCTTTTGCTTGTGCTGGGTGGGACAGTAACAAAACAAAGCCTGTTTGCAGCGTTGTGGGTCCTCCACATCCACCCGGGCTGCTCTGGTGAGGAGTTTCATCACTCGGAAAGTTCAGCCCTCTGTGGAGAGGTTCAACATCCACGCTGGAAATCTGCTCTCAATCAAACAGCAGAAGTTCAGCTCAGAACAGTGGCTTTTCTTCAATTCACTAAGAACAAAACCTCTTCTCCTTGTAGCTGTCCCCACAGGATATAAATAAAAGTTTGTGGATGGATTTGTATTAGATTGTGTTTTTTGTGTAGATCTCTTCCAACAAGCTTCTGTTGCATTTATTTGTGATGAAAGAGGTGATCACAACTGTTCCAATCAACACCAAGGGAATACAAGGCAGAAGGGATTAGAGGAGACCTTCTCTTAAGTGAAACATTATTTATTCAACAATAAATGAAAAATCCTCCTGGATTCAGTCAAAAAGAAAGGCACTGGGAGATGCTGTGCCCATCCCACAGCTGTCACAACACACCCTCGAGCTTCACGGCCCAGCCAGACTGAGGGGGGAGAGGAGATGGGAGCATGTAGGGCAGGGTGATGAGCAGCCCTTTCCCTGGGGTTTTTTCCTGCCACTTCAGAGTCCCTGCATATCCCAGCATGGTCACCTGCAGAGGAGGGCAGGGGACAATCAGCTGGAGCTCACACAGGCCCCCTTTGCACACCCCAGAGCATCTCCCATTCATCCCCACCCGCCATTCACAGGGCACAGGAGGTGACACTCGGGATGTTCTGAGGCCAAACATTTGATGTTTGTTGGTTGTTTGTGGGTTTGTTTGTTACTGAGGCTTCGCCTCTGTTTGTTTAGAGCAAAGGGCACTGGAGCATTTGCGTCAGGGTGACACTTGCCATGAGCAGGTCAGTGCCCCTGAGCACGGGCTGAGGTGCAGGAACAGCCATCCCTGCCCTGGTGAGGCTGGATATGTATTTACTTCCCCTCCCTGCATCAGCAGGACCGGAAGATTCCAGGGGAGAAGAATCTGCCTATTCCATGGCAGCTATGAGCCTGTCCTGGCAACTCCTGTCCAATGTTCCATGTTCAGTGAACCAAGGAATAGCCCGGGATGCTGCAAGGATCTGGAGGGAGGCCAGAGCACACAACTCCCCTGCTCTCCCCAGTTCCCAGATGAAGCCAGATTGGCCCTTCCCAGCCTATAAACACCCAAAATATGCTCTCAGTGTGTGTTATCTGTTTTTCAGGTTCCTTACTTGTGTGGCTGGGCATGGAATGGGCGAGCAGAGCTTCAAAACGCTGTCCCGAGGCCAGAGCAGGAAGATGGCATAGACGACCTGTCCCTTGGAGGTGTACCTGTGGGACAGTGAGTCCAGCAGGGTCAGGAGCCCCATGGCAGCACCAGGCACGAGAACACCAGCTCACCTGTCACCACACAGGGGTCACCTACTTTCCCCTCTTCCAAACCCTGTCACTTTGGACCCACCATCAGCGCTGGCTGATGAAACCCAAACAAAGTCCATGTGTGCAAATGTCATCTGTGTCCTGGGCTCAGCGTCATCCCCACCACTGCTCTGCATTTCCACACTGAACACACTTGAGGAAACAAAAACAACTCCAGTTTGTGGAGATTTCTGGCCAGAACCACTACCTAAAGCAGTCCTGACATTTTTTTTAAAGGAAGGGTTGTTTTTTAACAATTCAAGCAAGATGGGTGACGTCCTAATTTGTATTCTCTTCTTTCAAGCAAGATATTCCTTAGGTAACAGCCTGGGGCAATAACTGAATGTTCCAACTGTAGGATATTACCTAAACACCATCTGCACCTGATGGCAACGGTTCAGTGTGCCAAATTTAAGAACAAATAAGAAATAAATGTCAGCTGTGGAAGTCCCAGCCCAGATGGTGCTGAGCAGCAGAATCCTTACCAGACTGTGTCTGTGCTGTTCTCCATCTGCACCCTCCAAGGCCGGGATTCATAAATTGCCTCCCCATTGATGTCCAGCCACCTCCCAAGGGCCAGGAGTCTTTCTTGGAAGATGGGGACAATCACCCCTTCTTTGGTAGGTCCCACGTTGAGAAGGTAGTTGCCTCCCAAGCTCACAGTCTGCACCAGCTCCTGTGGCAGATAAACCAAGGTAACAAGCTGCATCATCTTCACGTCTGAGGACACAGAAACACCTTTTGTTTTGGTGTTTCTTTTCTCCTGCCCCATGCTGCTTCTTTCTCACAGCAATTAAATCATCTATGACACTTGAGCTAATGGCTCACTAGATTAAATGAAGGGCAGTATTTACACAGCCCAGTCTGTTCAAGGCATAATCAGCTCTGGAAATTGGTTTGAATAAAGTATGATTGCCTTCAGATCATGAAATAATGTTACAAGTTGGAATAAAAACATCTAGCATATCTGAAAATGTGTCAATATTTCCCATGAAATATATTATTTTCCCACTATAGACCAGGTCTTATTTAGAACATCACTGTATCTAAATATGAATGATGGCACTCATCAACTGCTCCTTAACTCCAGCCTGAGTGTATGGAACACACGACAACTCCTTTGGCAAGTAGGGGGATGAAGGAAACCTCTAGTTCTCAGTTTTTCCCCCATAGCTGTTATGCTTTCAGCTCCCTCACCTCAATGATACTTGCTTCATCCATGACCTCAGCGATGCTCATGTTGCTCCGGTAGCCCCAGGACAGCCTGTCAATGGAGGAGCACATCTCCCACTTGTGATCTGGCAGAGTGCCTGGCTTGTATTTGTCAGCACAGTTGTAGAACCCTCCGTGCCGGCAGGAGCAGCGGTTACACCAGCGGTCGTTAACGACGACGGCGTCCTGAGGGGACACACTCAGCTCAGGGCAGAGAACGTTTTGTCTTGGATTGTTCCACCTGCAATCACCCCCCGAAGCCAGCAAAGGCGTCCAAGTGAGGAGGTAAACACCTAAAATTAAAATTCCCTGTGTGTTGAAAGAGAGAATCCTCCTGAGAAGGCTGAGTCGGTCTCTGAGAGAGCCCCTCCCTGTTCTCTCAGGCAGTGCTGCAAAGGACAGTGGAGCTTCTCACAGGAGCACTGTGGGGCCTTCTTGGTTTTTGTGGAAGAATAAAACACATTTGGCATCTGCCAGGCAGGTTTTTGGTGTTATCACACATTTCTCTGCTGCCAGACCTCCCACACCCACACGAGGAGGGACAGCAGACACTGGTACCTTGACGGGACTGTCGTTATAGAGCCAGGCAAGGAAAGAGGTGGAATTCCAGTACGAATCTGGAGCTTCCCAGTCTCCATCCGACCAAATCAAGTCTGGTTTGTATCTAAGAGAGATAAATGTTATCTCAAAATGGATCATTTTCTCCTGCCACAGTGTTTCCTGTATCTGACATAATTTTACTTCCCCTTCCCACTGCCTGTGTCACCAGGAGGTTTTGCTTCACTTTCTGCTTCACACAAAGCTCTAAGTGAGGTTGTTGCAGCAGGAAAGAACGATGTGTTGATCCACAGCTCAAGAGAGGATGCAGTTCTTCCAAAAAAACAGAATTTGGCATCTCAAAGGCAATTCTGAGGCACATTCTTGAGCTGGGACAACAGCCTTTCTGTCCATGTGCCCAAGCCTGGTATTTTTGTCAGAAAGGGGAAGCAAGGCAAGGATGTAAATCCACAGTGAAATCACTCTTCTACTCTACAAATACCAGGCAGGTTGCCCCACTTCCAGCCACCCTGCACAAAGGCAGGATTAAAGGGAACTGTTTTTCCACGAAAAATTTGTCCCTACCTTATTCTACAGATTAGACTGTTCACAGGACAAATGTGAACCTGTTTTCTAATGGTTAGTAATGGGATTTGCCTTGGCAAAAATTAACACTCTCTTCTCTGGAACCGGGAAGTGCTCACGGTTCTGAACTGGCTGTAGCTCTTACTTTAACACGAGATCATAAAGTTCTGGCATCATCTTCTTTGCGACAAAGTTCTGGGTCTTGAAGCCATTTTTTTTGTCAGCAAGATAGAGTGGGTTAAACCACTCCATGAGGGAGTGATAGAGCCCATAGCGTAGGTTCCTGAAGGACAGAAAGGGAGGGAAGAGTTAGGCTCCAGTGGGGATTAAGAACTGCTGGCATTATTATTTCATTATTTGCAAGCACTAGGTTTTTCACACTAAACTCATCATTTTCTGCTGTTTGTCAGCACAGCCAGGAGGATTCACTGCAATATTATGCAAAAAAAAAAAAACAACCCCAAACAACTGATTCAGCTGACAGAGCAGCAGTTTGGCAGTGCCATACCTCTCCCTGAGGGCTTCTCCCAGCTCTCCTACGAGGTCTCGGTGGGGCCCTACATCCACAGAATTCCAGTTCCAGGACCTGGGCGACCCCCAGTTGGTGAAGCCTTCATGGTGCTTTGTGGTCAGGACCACGTACCTGAGGGGAAAAAGGTTTTGATCGGGATGGCAAGGGGACAGCTGAGATATTCCACAGTCACTAAAACAGCCAGGGACTGGATAACCACACTGCGAGGAGCCCTCTGCCACTACCCTTCAAATTTAGAAGCAACTACAAGAATAACAGAGGTTTTAAGTGGATTTTCATGCCGGAGAAGAATGAACAATCGAGACTTGGGAAGCAGCAAGACCAGTCATCTCCTCAGCACTCTGGGCATTGACCCATCCCCTCAGGGACCCCTGCAGCCTCTTGGGGACCCCAGGCACAGTGCCCCC